GATGTTCAGTGTAATGATAAAACTGAGAGATTCAGAGACAGACTGAAGCTGGATCATCAGACTGGATCTCTGACCATCACTAACACCAGAAACACAGACTCTGGAGAATACACACTACTGATCAGCAACAGCAGATTCTGCATCATTAAGAGCTTCAGTGTTTCTGTCACTGGTGAGTAATGTGGGCATTTGGAAGGATAACACTTACAGAGGAATGTAAAAAGTATATATTTTTATTTTAATATCTTGACGACTTGGTACTGAAGCAACACTACTTCTGACATCACTGTGTGAAACCGTGATCTACTTTAAACTGAATGAGATTCACATGTACTCTCTGAGACCTTCAGATATCTTGTGTTTGTTATAGATCAATCTGACGGATTCTCTTTCTTTCACTGATCCAGGTTCAGTTCTGTCTGCTGGTGTTGTAGCTGGAATAGTTATCGCTGTTCTGCTATTTGCTGCAGCTGCTGTTGCTGGTGTCGCTGCAGGAGCTTCCAGAGACTAAATATGCACTTGTTTTGTAATTAATTCATTTGATCATCAAGCAATCAAATGAATCAAGAGATCAGGGGCCTGTGCCATGAAGCCTGTTTTGGTGGATAGCCTGGTAGGTTTCTGTTTAGTTTGTAGAAGTTGACAATTGCCTATTCCTAGACTGAACTAAGGCCTAATCCTGGTTTAATCTAAGTCCTGTCTGTGAAACCTGGCCAATTTAACAATTATTATTTTATTTTTTAACAATTATTAAGTATTTAGTTTAAATGAATATAAATATATTCAGATAATATGTAATATAAATAAGATTTGACATCGGCAGATAAAGCTTTAAGAAATGACTATGTGTGAACATGCATGTTCAAATCTATATATTATATATTATAAACTATTAAAACTTACTTCACAACTTTCCCTTGCACAGTTAGGCTATAGCAAGATAGTTTCTTCTTGCTGTTTGAATGCACTTATGTACTTTATATTCTTTAATCTCTTAATCTTCTACGAGCCTCTATAGGCTAGAGTTTGTGTTGTGCTAATTTATTTTTATTTAGCTGTTCTCATGTTAGCTGTATGAGACAATGTGAAGGTTACTAATGCACTACGTGTATAATTGCCATGTGTATTCTCTAGAGTTTACAGCACTGGTCATTATAATGTTAAAATGTGATGCTGAATTTGTATCAGAGTGTTTTTATATAAGCTCAAGTTCATGAGTGTGGATGTATTCTTCTGTTCCAGTGATTTTCTGTGACTCTAAGAAAGAATATTGCCTTTTTTATCTTATAGTGTATAAAGACACTCGCCTGTTACTCTTATGATAGTTACATGAGAACTGTGTCAAAGATATTGTCCACATTTCAGTAACAAACACTGTGTTCAGATATTGCACTGTTAATGTATCTGAACCTGTAGAAATGTCCTCATCTGATCACCCATGTGCCTGTAAGAACTGTTTTTATCAGTTATTTTGAGGATGGATTCTACTTTGTACTATTTTCTACTGTCTTTGGAAGTGTGGAGAACTGTGTTCAGTAAAATAAATGAACTTCAGATTTGACTTCTGGTCTTCATTGAACGGATCGTCGTTCTTTATGGAGTCAAACTGGGTTCACCTACAAATAAATGCTTTGCATGTCACAATGATTAATGATAAGCACTTACCTTTTTATGGAAAGTTATGGAATATTAAATCATCTGTTACTGAAATCACAGAAAATAGCAATGTGATCATCTAAACATATGTGATTTAATTATTTCGTATAAAAAGTCCTCCAGGTGGTGCTTATTTGCCATAATACAATATAAAAAGGTAGCCTACTACTTGATTTGCATTTAAATCACATGTAATCTACTTGTAGCATTTAGTCTTCTTAGAATTATGCAACCAATGCTTTGTGATAAGGAAGGAAACACGCGATTCAAAAGACAAACCGGAGCTCTCTCGTTATTAGTTGATGGTGTGTTTCTGTTGAAGCGACTTAAACATCAGTAACTATGTTTTTGATTTACAAATTCCCTAAGAACCCATATTGATGTTTTTATGTCAATCATCATAGACTACATAAACTTCATTCCCTTCTAAAAGACATCAAGTAGCTTTATGTATTTTCCTCTACATTCATGTGCAGGTCTCTTCTCTCACTACAATCGATTTTTATTTTGATTCAGCTCACAATTAATCAATATAACACAATATGGTTTTCATTTAAATAAACTGTTTTAGTGCTATAAATGATCAAAATTAATGTTTATGCAAATTGTATTTCCAATGAAAGAATTGCTTGGTAATCAAGTCAAGTCACCTTCATTTATAAAGCGCTTTTAACAGTGGATTGTTTCAAAGCAGCTTTACAGTTATAGTAGAAATTACCATAACAGATTGTTTAGGCTGTACAACAGCATTAGGATAAAGTTATTGTCCAGCTAAAGTTAGTTTTGATTGATTCACTTCCGTTGCGAAGATTATTAGTTATTAACTTAGGGGCCGCAAACACGACACTGTTCTAACAGAAATACTCTATTTGAAACTTGCCGGGCCAGAAAAGTTATGAAAGACATCGTTAAAATAGTCCAAGTGACTACAGTGGCTCAACCTTAAGTTTATCAAGCGACAATAATACTCTTTGTGTGCAAAAACTCCCCCAAAATAACGACTTTATTCAACTATTAATTTTCTTCTCTGTGGGCCTTGAGTCAGGCTCACTATTGGCTGACGCTTGTCATGATGCATGTGATGTACAACACAGAAGCGCTGCGCTATTAATAGTTGAATAAAGTTGTTATTTGGGGGGGAGGTTTGCGCACAAAAAGTATTCTCGTAGCTTGATAAACTTAAGACACCCCAAAAATACGTGTTTATCAATAATTTTTTCTTTAATACAGACATGATTTTATATATATTGTTTTAATAAAAATGACATAATATAACCCATATCGCACTGTCACAGAGTTTATTCACACATAATAACATACGTATACACATAAAACATGATATCAGAGTTTTAAAAGAGAACAATACATCACAGTTGTTTAAACCAATCAGCATTAAGCTGTGTCGTCAGCAAGTCGTTTCCCGTCATGCTTTTGATCAGCCAGTCGGTGGTGAGTGGATTTTCATTTTAATCCTTGCATATATCTTTTCAACTTTGCAGACTAAAACTTAATTTCACAATATTTATGATGGGCTTATCAGTTTCTTGTCTCCTCTTGTAGATCTGATGTCATAAAGCAGAAAAGCCACAGTAGCCACGCCCACAAGAGCAGAGAGAGCCAATCGGATCACAGCTTCAGTAGATCCACAACAGAGGTCGTGAACTTCTAAATAAAAAAAACAATGATAAATTTGGATTTTCAACTAGATGAAAATGATCATAATTTAGCAAACAGAACATGATGGTGCTTATTTGGAGGCTGGTTGTGGGTCAATAATATCATCAGTGCTGTTGTACCTGCACATGTGTGACAGAGTGTGTGGATGTCCAGATGTGTGGTCTGGTTGCTGATGGGATTGTTCAGCACACAGCTGTAGGGGTTTTTATCCTGATATTCCACCTCCAGAGGTAGAGAGAGACTGATGATGAGATCACACACACTGATGCTGGACAATACACTCATTCCTGCGTACCAGGAGAGAGTCACATGACTCACATTCACCTCTGATGAACACACCAATGAACAATTTGATGATGATGATGAAGAACAGTGTGAAAAGTTACTGATGATGGCAGGAACAGGCAGACGAACTGGAAAACATGAGAGAATAAAGATACATATGGATAACAATGTCTATCATATCTTTACTCATTTTAGACTGTAAGCTGTTGAATGCTTGAATCTGATTGGTTGACGAATGATCTGAGGCGTGCAATTATTTTAAGGGAAATGATCAGCTAAAGTAGTTCCAGGCAGGTTTTGACCGCATTACAGTTCCATATCACTTCGCCACATCTTAATCTCTCTCTCTCTCACAATCTCTCTCTCTCTCTCTCTCTTTCTCTCTCTCTCTCTCTCACAATCTCTCTCTCTCTCTCTCTCTCTCTCACAATCTCTCTCTCTCTTTCTCTCTCTCTCTCTCTCTCTCTTTCTCTCTCTCTCTCTCTCTCTCTCTTTCTCTCTCTCTCTCTCTCTCTCTCTCTCTCTCTCTCTCTTAATAACTGCATTAGTATCAGTGGCTCAAGCCTCCGTTACTAGCTCTAAAATTACTTTTTGGAATCAGCATCAGATGCTCGAGGTGTGGTAACAGTGGAAGCGTTGTGTCATGGCCACATTACTTTCTAATATTTTCTAATACAGTTTTTCTGAATTGCTAAAACACTAAACCCCATTTTCTGAACCAAATTCTCAATAGCCTAAACCGATTTGTCGAATAAATCACTCTTTCTGTAAAACATTAAACAAGTTCAGCACTGTTTCCAAATCTCATGCACTCTTTTTCACAAAACTCTAAACACATTCTCGCTCACTAAAACACATTTTGCATTGGGATGCACTTTTGTTTCAAAATGCTAAATACAGGCATGTGATGTGGACAAAGTCCTCCGGCCGGACCCGGCATGAAGACATGATGCTGAAGCAGAATATCTCTCTCTCCTTGACTTTAATTTTGCATGTTGCAGCACAACTCTTCTGAGTGACTGTAACATGCTTTTCATTTTGAGTTTTTTACTGTAACCTCTTTGGCTTTTGCAGTTGGACACTGTATTTTTACAGTATGCAAGTGCTGAATATACAGACATTTAATACTATACAATATTCAGTACAATACTATACTGGCAGTGCATCCATATTATTCAGTAAGTTGTCATTACTACATTTTTTTTACGTAATTGCAAAACTTAGTTACAATATACTGTTTTTCTGTAACTGCGTGCTTTCTGTGTTCTCCATTTTTTTATGTAGTCTAACGAATGATCTGTCGTGTTTATAATATTGAGCTGTGTGTAAGATCTGAAAGCATTGCTTGATTTTGTCATTCCTTACATGACCTCAATACTCACCATAGACTGAAACATTGGATGTTTTTGATGACAGTTTCACTCCCCTTATTTCTAGTTGATAAACTCCTGCATGTTCAGTTGTGGTGTGTGTGATGGTCAGAGATCCAGTCTGATCGTCCAGCTTCAGTCTATCTCTGAATCTCCCATCAAGAACATCATCATATGTGGAAAAGACTCCATCAGTTCTACTGATTTCAGCGATCACAGAGTTTCCAGCTCCAAATGTCCACAGTATGTCGTCGTCTTCATGTATTTCAGTGAGATCAGTGTTTAGAGTAACAGAATCTCCCTCCATCACTGACACTGAATCAGCAAACACACCTGACGGATGTACAGAGGCAGATTTTACACAGATGAAGGTTTACAAATTATGTTGCAATTTGTAACATTTAATTGTGAAGAACATCCAGGAAATGGATTTCCATGACTTTAGTAGTTGTCCGTGATTACTGCAAATTGCTTCTTTTTTCTTAATTAAAAAAAAAAAAAGAAAGAAGATTTTCAGATGATTTTCATTTCATGTTAAAAATTAAGATGTTCAAAACAGGGGAAAAAAACAAAAAAAAAGCCTGACAAATTGTAATTGGCTAGTTATAGCCATTATTTTCCACGTCTGTGGGACTAAGAGCACTTAAGAGAATCAAACACAGACCTGAATCTGAAATAGCACTCGAATAACATATTTGATTTTTCTTTGAAGAACTGAAAGTGAAATTCATCACAGTCTGTTATGACATGGAGCCATACAAATATATTTTACTTACCAGTCAGACGGCTCCAGCACAACCAGAACAAAACACACACGGGGAACATGTTCTCCAGCGGTTTACTGAAAGGTCCGATCTATAAAGACTCTCAGCTGAAAAAAACTAACTGGTTTTAGCGGAACTATTAATCTGGTGTGTGTGAATCCTCCCACAACAGTTTGAAGACCCTCCTAGTTCTCACACACACACACACACACACACACACACAAACACACACACACACACACACACACACACAAAATGTCTTATAAACAATTGTATATGTTTTACTGGGTCTTATTGAAACTTGAATTGTTCCTAATGGTAGAAAACATTCTTAATTTTTATCATTAACATTTACAAGAACGACTACCTACATTAAATATGTAAAGTATGAGAGTCAAATAAATCTTCTTTTCATGGTAAAATAGAGATGTTTGCTTAAATAAATAGCTGTAATAATTCAATTCTCAGTTGTGAATGTAAAACAAACAAACCAAAAGTTGAAACAGTCTCTGATCTGACATCTCTCTTGCTGAGGTGTGACAGTAGCAGCTCGTCTGAGTCAGACTGAAACCTGTGGTCGCTCTTCTCCAGAAACAGCTTTTAGTCTCTCGGTGGACTAATAGTTTGTGGCTGCGAGTGGCCAGTTGTTTTCTGTGTGTGTTTGTAGAGTAAGAGCTTCTTCCTGCCCTGCTATTATGAACCTCACAGTCTGACTTCTAAACCTGATTTACAGAGTAATAAATACTGAATCACTCTATCAAAACTGATATTTAAAGATACAGTCATTAAGAGTCAGAAGTCCAACAGGACCCATCAAGAATCATTAAATAATGCACGGATTGACAGCTGGTCATATCTAAACAGAATTTACAACACTCTGAACAGAAAAATGACCATTTACTTCATAATACAGGGACATTAAACCATGATGAGAAACTGTGTTTTGACCAATGGAGTAAAAACTGACATAACATGTTTCATGTCAGTCAGGTTTCATGTCTTGTCGTGATCACCTGATCCTCATGTGATCTGCTATGTGCTTTTGTGTCAAGTAGTCATTGGTTAAAGTAACATTATGTAGTTTTTCAACATTCATAATATATTTCCAAGACCCTTGTGATGGTACATCGACTTACAATAGGTTGAATGACACGTCTGCCATAGCCTGACGGGGTCTGTATCGCTTTCACTGGCACTATGTAACTTCGGGTTTCGGGTAGGAACCCGAGCACAAAAAGAACTACAAAATTCGACTGCTTTACGGCATACGTCACTTCCCCCACCACTTCCTCAAATTGTCTGTGGCCCGGGAGTCTCCCCATAGACAGTAAAAGAAATGGACACAGCGACCCCATAGATTTCAACGGAGAAAGTTGAAGCCCATTAGAAGCACTCATTTCCTGATGGCTGAGCGACTGTGCAGGCTCAAACTGAGCTTGACGACGTAGATGTGACGTGAGCAACCGTTCTGACCTTCTAGTAGCTGTGCCGAGACAAATCTGAATTGAAATCTGAAACAAATCTGTTGTTGAAATATTTTGTCCCGTTGCTTTTATGAACTGTGGGCTTCTCCCTTGACTTTGCCTCCACGTCCACCCGATTGCCTCATAGACAGTAAAAGATTGCCATGAGCTTCTCCTTCTGTCTATACGGTAATTTCTCTACTGTGCGACAGAGAGTCGCGTGTTATGACACAATCGTTAGCCTATTTTTACAAAAACGGCTTCTACGGGGCCATAACGTAAGATACAAAGTAATGGAGCCTTTTATACATTGTCCTGTTTCTTAAGAAATAAATAATGGACAAATGGAGTCTTTAAATGCCTCAGATGTAAAGTTATTCGCTGTCAAAGTGACGCCAAAATGAATGGGAGTCAATGGAATGCTAACAGCAGGTGATAGCGGTGATGGCGGCTCCCAAGGGAAGCTTCAGTTTCCGGCTGATGGATTACACCCCTGAGTCTCCCGCATATTGATAATGATCCCTGATGCCCGCAAATTAGTTCAAATCTCCTGGAATCTAGAGCGCGCATGCGAGACAGAACATACTGCGCGCATAACATACATAGCGCGCGCACGGCAGAGAGGGAGAGAGTGAGAGACCTTGCGATTGTGCCTCACGAAAGCTAGTCAACCCCACCCTGAAATGACTTCTTGCAGGTTGGGATGTCTGCCATTGTTGACTGGATAAACAGCGTGCGTGCGACAGTAGGATGCGGAAGGCTAAATTATTTACAACAGCGGTAATGGACAATTCCGCTTCCAGCCGGCGACCGCAGAGGAAAAGTTACTTGGTGTTGCTTTAATTCTCTATCATGTTCACAGGTGTGTCTTGTTTAGTCATTAGTAGTTGATATTTAAGCCCTTTTTCATGTGTTTTTGTCAAGTATTGGTTTGTGTAACCACTGTTGGTAGGTGCCATGTTCATGTTTTTGTTTTTCAATCGAATTTCGTGCCATTCTTTTGCTTTATGTTTGATCTTGTTTTTGAATAATATTAAACTGCACTTGGGTTCTGCAAACTTGCCTCCAGTGGATCAATGTTACAACCAGAGTCCCTCTTCTAGGGGAGCCTCAAGGGTAAAGCAAATAAAATAAAATCACATTGCTTCAGTACACTGGTGAAGATTACCTATACTATGACTTGTATATAGGCATATTAATATTTACATATTCAATTGACCATATTTTAATTGGAGATTTGCATATTAGCAACACTATGAATGCACTCGTATGCACTATGAATGCACTCGGGGCCAATTCTGGGTGGCTCATTTTACCCCAAGGGTATAATTTTATCGTTTTTACTTAACTATAACTTTTACTCTACAAATCCAAAAACACTGAGTCCACAAATCCCTCATTAACAAATAGAATGTCAAAAAGATCACTATTTTCCAGAGACATACAATTAAATCAATTGACATCAAAACTAAATCTCACAAATTTTGATATGATTATGAATTGACAAAAATAGCATAGCCATTCATCAGAAGTGCTGAGATGAGATTCTGTGTCATCTATGGTCAGGAGGGAAAAAAACGGGATTTATAGATAATACTGACAGAATTTGCTAACCAATTATTAGAAGATAACTACACAAGCTACATATATTCATCTAACCATTCAGAAATGTCTACATGTTGTACCTTCTTCTTGAGTCTCTCCATGTTTATCTGACTCCGGTTTGAACATAAAAAGCTAAAAGTTTTTGAATTTTTCACGACACAAGCTCTTGAAGCTCCGCCCCCTGCGCCGGGAGCAGCAGCTCATTTGCATTTAAAGGGACACAAAAACGGTGAGTTTTTGCTCACCCTCAAAAAGTAACAGTTTTAACATGCTATATAAAAATATCTGTGGGGTATTTTGAGCTAAAGCTTCACATACACACTCTGGGGACATCAGAGACTTATTTTACATCTTGTGAAAATCAAGCGTCAGTTCTGGCAGGTCACGTTAGTCAAGCTCGTGTCAGCTGACACTCAGCTGATCCAAGTCTACCTATAGGAATACTATTCCTATCACATGTATAAGCTCCTCAGTATTGTCAGTAGCTATCGCGTTTCTCAGGAGATAATTACCCTCCTCCACCCCCAGGTCCAGTCAGGATTTGGCATTCTGATTACCCCTGAATCAGACTAAAATTCTCTAATTATGTTGTACTTTAAAATCTTGACATTAATGATATCTGCAATACATTCATGTTGGTTCTGTTCTGTTTACCCAAGGGGGGGTTATTGCTGCTCTTATCTAGGCTGCATGGATCCGCAGGGAGTTCTTGCCCAGAACAGAACCATATCGCCAATCCTATGCTAATTGTTAAACATATTCGACGATAGTGGTCCTGACAGAAAGGGCATTATACCACCCCTTTAACATGCTTTGTCCAGTTAGGGCACTAGAATGTTAATCCCAGTGGTGTAAAACTGATCAACTGCTGGTGTGCTTTGGTTTACCCAAGTTTCCTCAGCATTCAAACAGAGAAAAAGCAAATAGATTGCTGAGGCTATTTCTGCAGCTTTCGAGGTGCACAACCTTCATTCACCTGTAGTCGTAAAGGCACATTCAACAAGAGTACTATACCGATCGTGGCTGTTTGATGAATGCTTTGTTCTTCTTCTGTTAGTCACTTTGGATAAGTGTCGGCTAAATGCATGAATGTAAATGTAAATACATTTTATTTAAAAGCAATAGAAATGTTTATTTTTATTGTGTTAGTTTTAGGTAACTATAATAATCCTGATGTGAATGTATTTGGACTGAAATATATGGAGGGCAAAATATTTTTTTAAATGTTATATATATATATATTCTTAAGATACATTTTCATAAATATGCTAAAATATCTCAAATAAATTATATTGTTACAAAATATATTTACATAAATATTTTGGAATATATTTAAACATTTTTTCTTTAAAAAAAGAACTGCAAAGTCAAAAAGTTTGTTTGACCATCCATTGTGCCACCTGTTACATACACGCCCTCTAGTGTCACAAACAAAAATATACTCGATATAATGGCTCCAACATTAAGGATATGCAATTGTTACGCCCCTGTAAAAAGGGAAATAGAAAGTAAAACACGGACACGATGTAGCTTCAGTCAAGTCCAATGTTGTAATGCATTTACCATGAACAGCATAATAACATGTTTACTCAGTATCACAATTAAACATGTAATTCTCCCTTTACATGACATAATAATGTCCCTCTAACAACTAGACAATAGACAAAAATATCAGCTGGTCAGTTATAACTGCATATTACAAAATATCTGAGTTAACCTTTAAATTGAGTTACCAAAAATATATCAAAATATGTTTACAGCATCTTAAAACAGCATTGGCAAATAACCTTGAAAATGTACATTTAATAAAACAGACTATTTAAACAAAATAGATTTTACTTAACCCTGTAAATTGGTTTGGAAAAATAAACAGCACAATATAGAATATTCTGTAATGCTAAATACTGCTGTTTTGTAATTATTCATTCGGAATACACTTAACATTTCAACCTCAGTAGTATCATTGCACTTAAACAGAAAGTATATTGTCTCTTCACATTAAACACTATTTTTCCTATAAACTTAAA